TGGACTGGCAACAGGCCTTAGCAGAGGTGCCCCTAGCCATCCTTCCATGTGGCTCAGGCAATGGCTTGGCCAGAACTATCTGCTATCATTACAAGTAAGTGATTTCTTATCTTTAAATCATTTATATGCCACTAAGGAAAGTAATATAAGGTATTTATCACATAATGATAATTTTGGAAGGTATAGGTAAATGTAAGGAATATGATTTTTTTTTAATTTTGTTTATATGGTTTTAAATGATATGATACTAGTATATTATGTATAGTATATATATAGAGGCCTAATTTAAGTTCCTTTCTCTTTACCACCCTTTTTTTATAAGGAGAGGATGGGAAGGGGAAATGGATTTGGCGGAGGAGGAGACACATAGGAAGGGGAGATATTCTCTTCATGTTCGTCTCCACCTCTGTTGGATAAGGGTAGGCAACGCATGTGCAATTGTGGATGTCTATGGGCAGCAGTCGATTTAGGAGGCTGCTTGCCCATTTGTCACATTATGTTATAAAAAAAAAAGTATTATGATAATACTTCACTCCGAGGATCTTTAATGAATGGGAATCCTATATGATTTTTATAGAGAAGCAGCTCTGTACATCTTATCCCAAGTTAAAGAAATAGGTGTGTGATGGTATCCCAATGAAATTGTCAAAACAAAAACACTTTAAAACTAATCTTAAGGTCAAATCAATTATTGTGTAAGACCTCATGATATTCACTAAAAACATTGTTATCAAACCTTGTTTGAATAAGAGAATAGTAAATTTCGCTTACTATTATTTTCAAATTTACTTATGCATCAAAGGTCAAAACCATAACTTCACTCTGACCTCCGCAAACACCTTGATAAAAGACGCGCTCTCGTTTACCTTCATTACTCGTTTATGCACTTTTTTTTCTGTTCTTACAGAGGTTTTTGATATTATTACTCTGATTTGCATGGCCATTTATCTAATGTTTATTTTTACGGAATTTTTCAAATTAAGTAAGGATTTGATATATTTGCAAGAATCGATGTTTTGTAAATATTGGTGACAACCCAAAGTTATTGTCTACTAGCTGTTGCTTGTGACTTTGTTTACGTGGAATAAAAAAAAATAATAAAAGGCATGGCATACTCAGACATAACAAAGAATATAGCTTTTTGTTCTTCAAATCGGTCTAGTAGTTTTTGGATTATTTCAATACATACAAAAATACAAATTGTGCCTCTTTATAATATTAGTATACCATAGATTATTGAATACAACAAGTTAACCTTCTATGGGCTATGTTCACTTATTCACTGGTGCTAAACTATTTAACAGAATCTAAGATCTTTTTCGTATTTTTTTTTTAAACTCGTCGATCTTGCTGTCAAACTAGGAGTAATAAATTTTTCTGCCTTTGTATGACTTACACTAAGGTTTTCACTTAACAACTAGTTACAAGCTCTGAGTAAGGTAGTTTGGGATTAATGAAAAATCAACCACATCAAAAATGATTTATTTGTATTATGTTTTGGCTAGGGCTATTTAATTATTGACTGCACCTGTGTTCTAGATAGCTCTAGATAGGTCATAATACACCGTTTAGCTACTCACTTTAATATGACATTGCAAATTGACTAACATCCTCCATGCAGTGACATGAGTGTTACAAGAGGGGTTACTGCGTATTTTTTACCGGTGGGCGGGAATTGGTGATTGTTTAATTTTTTCCTTTGTTTACTGCCAGTAAACCAGTGAAGTACTACTTATCAGATGTTTAGTCAAATTAATCTGTGTGAGCTTTTAACAGATGTTGTTTTGTAATTTCAAATTGAATTATTTTTTCGCAATTAAGTTTCAAATAACAATATTTGGAATTGGTATTTGCGGTTGTCATATGAGTAACGTTATTTTTTTTATGACTGTGTGTGATATTGAAATGTGTATGTCAAAATATGCGAGAGAGAGTGGTTTAAGCGTCACTAAAAGTGTAGATATAGTATGAGAAAAAGTAAATTGTAAGTCTCTAAGTCGTTTAAGGTTTCAATGAACTTTATACTGACCGGTTCGAAAGATTTGGTCAATTTTTTGTTCGTGTTGGTAAGTGGATAATGTCGCTGCTATTTTTGTGTTTTTTATTGTAAGTTTTTGGTAGTAAAAAAATAAAACCGAGTAAAATTATATGCAGTCTTTTATTAAGGACATTTAGATATTGACCGATAAATCCGAATAATAATTAAATATAGCTAGTCTAGAAGGATCTTATTATGCTATACGACCCAGTCTGCGAATTAAGGTGTTTATGTGAAAACTTGAATAATTTAAAAGTAAATATAAAGTGTGTGAATCTTGATGTCCTTGATAGTTATGATTTAATATTAAAATGGTTTTTACTTTAAAGTGCAATTTTTTGTGCGGACGAATGAAATATTTTTAAATAAAAAAGGAGACATTCATTTTAAGACATACCATCGTATTCAGGCTTGCTAATCAATCTTTACGGGCGGTACATAGTGTATATTATTAGATTTAGATCCTTCTGATTATTCTATTAATCCAAAATAACGTTTCACTTAATGTGACCACACGACAATCGTCATCAAATGAACACTATGAAAATCTACATAAGGGATTGCTTCAGAAATTATATAAAACCTCTTGAGTGTAGCCGTATGTTTCGAAATTTTCATTTATCCGCCGAGGTATTGTTGGTTATCGTGGTATTTACATTTTAAATGAACGTGAGATCAAAGCATTCTGTTCTCTGTTGAAATATTCATTTGTTTTTGAACACGTTGGAAGAGGCTTTTCAAAACTACGCTGCGGAAATTCAAAATAGCACAGAGAAAGTGTTTTCAAATACAAAATTCAATGCGGTCGGGTCTACAACTTTTTTTCTTCTTTTGAAAACAAATGGTAAGATAACTTATTTGCTTAAAATCTTGAAGAATTACTTATAAACACAAATGTTATTGAAATGCCTTTTTTTACTAGAAACTTTTTATTTCTGTTGAGAGTAGAAATATTCAGTTTTTATTCAGATTAGGAGCTTGTTATTATAATCAAACCAGTTTTCAGTATGCCGGTTTCTGCATGCAACAAAATAAGTGTAATATAATGTTGTATAATAGATTTACGTAAGCATTTGGAAACTTCGTTCTTACAATAATATAAAAACCAAAATAAACCACAGATTAAGATATGTATGAAGTAATAATCTATGTCCCGGATTCTGTGAGAACATTGTTTCTGAGTTTGTAAAACATATGGCCAATAGCCTATCCTCTCGTTTGCTTTAAGAGAATAAGAGAAAGCAATGTGATTGTAAACATATGGTGTAGTTCACACTAAGTATAAATTTCCGAAATCTGTTCTCATTAGGTCTCAAATAACCATTCTAAATAATTTTTGTAAGTTCATAGAATTGAATCAAGGACTTGTGGTAAACAGTTACGTAATTCTCTAAGCTTCTAAGTAATATTATTAATGTAATTTCTGAACAGAAAAATAATACATTTAAGTAAATAAGTTACAACGCTACAGATAAGTAAAACCGTAGCTGCATAAAATTGTGCAGAGTAAAATATAAATTGATTATAAATTTAGCTAACACGTTTCACATGTTTGTTTCTATTTAATTAAATCTTTTTGCGTATAATTTATTTTCTTATTTACATTGTTTTCCAAAAAATATATGTTAAATGTTCTTCAAGGTAAAACAAAATATCCTTCCACGAGTTGTTTGGAATTTCAAGTTAACATTTTGCTACGGCCTAATAATAATAATGAATAACTAATTGAACCAGTTGTTTTCATTAGCGGGTAAATTGTTAAGTGTTGCATTCCGTCATTTATACCTATTTACCAATATTTCACAATACCATCTTACATTGACTTCCAGCCTTCTCCCAATCCGGTAAAGATAACAAGGTAAAGGCCGAAGCTACTGAGGGAGCCCTCGAGCTTAGTTACTCATAAACGACGTTTAGGCTGAGCGCCATCTGCGCTCGGCCACCTTAAGCCCGGTGAATCTGTAAATGCCTTTTGAAGGCAAACAGTGGCCATTCAGTCACAAAAAAAAAATCCAGACTTTTTAGCCAATTATATTTTAACCAACTAAAAAAAGATAGAGGTTCTCAATTCGCATGTATTTTTTTAGTGGTACGATTTATTTCCAATTATTCTTAACCTTTTTTCTATTTACACATTGTCGTCTTCACATTTGCTCTAGATATGTATGTTCTTACATAAATCTATGTTCATACAGGAAGTGTTATTTAAAATGATTAATAATTTTCCGTAATAGATTTACGTTTATGATTTTAATAACACCGATAAACGCGACCAGTAAGATCCGTGTACTATAGTTTTGCCAATGTTGTTTGCAATATTTTGCTCCGTAAATGGAATAAGACAATCTTCTTTCGCAATTACAGTCCTGAAGATCCGTTTTTACTAAGCAATTCACTGCACGATTGTTATATTTTTAAATATCGTGGTCTCGTTTAGTAGGAATGAAACATTGTATACAACAATGAAGATGTGTCGCGTGTGGAACCAGTGGAAGAGCGGTCTCACTAACTTTATAAATATGTTTGCGTAACATTTACATGCTATAAAGTAGGTAAAGAAGATATACAATTAGGACATCGAATAGCCTGTCATTACTAGCTCAGTAATACAACGTCTGTCGTAAAGTTATCTTCAGCACAAACATGATTTTTAACTTTTCACGTGCGAGATAATCATCGGAGGACATTTCACAAATTTGTATGTTTTATGACTGACAATACTGATAAGAATGTATCACAAAGTATTGTATCTTTTATTACACAATTGCAGTAATCTAACAAAGATTATCTAGACGTAGGAAAATCCTTTTAGATGAGAGATTCACGGTCAAACTTATAATCAAAGGCCTATAATAAGTTTGTGTTCGTGTACAGTGTGCTTTTTTATATTATAAGGTGGCAAACAAGCAAGCGGCGAAATAGCGAAGCGACCGCTGCCCATAGACATTCGCAATAGCGGATGCGTTGCCTACCCTTAATCGACGAAGGAGGAGACGCGCATAAACAGGATATTTCCCCTTCCTATGCGTCTTCTCCACCGTCAAATCCACTTTCATTTCCCATTTTTCTCTTGTAAGAAAATGGGTGGGAAGGAAAAGGGACTAAGGACTGGTCTCCGGCATCACACTCAGACGAAACGTGGAATTTCACCCATTCCACGCCTGTATTCTGTGTGGTATTGCACCGGGCGAGCCGGCCTATTCGTGTGAAGATGTTAGAGCGGGCTCTACCGTTGTTAAACTTGTACATATGTTTCGAGAGTTCTTAATTCGCCATGTAACAGAAATTAATGCGTTTATAATATAAAATATCATCTGGATAACATTACATATGAAACAAAGAAGGGAAGTATGACACATCTATTGTAACTATGCTCTATGACTGTGATAATGAACAACAAAGAACATGTAGTAATTAACTAGTTACCGACTAACCTGGATTTATTTTGATAAGTAGCTCGATAATGTCGCAACCGTTATATTACTGCTAATAGATTTAAAACATGGTAATCTTTGTCATTTGTTGTTCATAGCTCTTTTTACCCGCAGATCAACGAGGCAAAACAATTATCATTTACATGACAAGTAGATATTTTATTTCAAGGACGAATGGTTTGAATGTAAAGGGAAATAAATCGTTTTTATTAAGTTTTTTGTTTGCAAAATAATGTAATAATACTAATTTCCATAACATGGAAACCACACAATGTGTTTAGACAACAATTTTACGATTTATATGAGTTAAGATTTTATAAACACGAAGCTATTTCGTCATAGTGTAGTGAAAGCGTAACATAAAAACCGTAACGACAAAGTATTTGGTAACCGTTCCAGTTGTTTTGCTACCAAAAATGCTTATATTTGGTCGAAATAAATAAAACTTTAATTTTATACCACTTGAAAGGTTCTGTACTGGTTTTTCTTTATATTTTTCTAATCCTGGGTTTACACTGCTTTAACACCCTTATAAAAATAAACGCCATCTCAGTTCTTTTTAAAGTGAAAGGCATTGCATGTAATAATTTTCGTACAATGTTTATTTAGGAAGCGGAAAACGAATTAACCCAAAATGATAAAATTAATCGCGATAAAATACTTAAAAACGGTTAAATATTTCCTTGATACGTTTTTGATTAAGACTTGGTTAAATAAATGTTCTTATTTAAATCATAAATGACTTGGTTAAATCATGTTCCGACGCCCCAAAGAGGCTAAGTTCCAACTGAACATTTTAATTCAGAACTGAGCGTATGTAGCGGGTTTTCGTTGCTAAACATCAATTTAACCACTTCGAAATTTCCGATCCCATAGCATACTATACTTTTCTAAAAAAGACGAGTATAATAAGCCACTTCCAATGGTGATTTTCCGCCTGCCAGTATTAAAAAACCTTCAAATATCTTTACGAAAAATCTAATGCTCGGTTCACACTTGGTCAGTACAGTTGAACAATTGCGACGACCAGTCATATATTGTATGTACTCATTGGTGCTAGTTCACACTGTGCGGAGTTGATTACCAATCCATTTATTAAGCGCTACTAACCAAGTGTGAACCGCGCATAATGTTCTTATCGTGCATTTAAAAATACTGGCAACTTAATAAATACAGTATCATGATATCACAATGTGTTTATTATCTGCGGGGATAATCATTTCGACTTACGATTACGGCCATGAAAACTAAGACAAGTTTTGAAAGCGTAAATAAGATAAGGATTTGTAATTCCGCTAGATTTAATTATCACTTTGTATCCTGGATAATTAGGGATCCTAAGTAACTAAGTTTTTAAATTTTAAGAAAGATCCTTTGTGTATCATTGTTTTTTTTTAATTAGGGTAAGCTTATGAATATTAACCAAAAAAAATGTATTTAAATCCGCACGGTCAGCGTCCCGGGCAAGAGTTATAATAAGTATATATTATTTAAACTTTGGTTGAAGAAAACATTAAAATAACAATGAAAATTTTCATATGAATACTTGTTGAATTATTATAACAACAAAGTATACTTACGTCAGTAAGCTAGAAATTGTAAAGATGTATTTTATACAACTGAAAACAGTTTGTTTTAATTACCGTGGGTTTACGCTGCCAAAATAATTGTAAACGAACATATTGTCAACGCTCTCATTCTCATGGAAAAATCTGAGTTAACAATATTTCAGTAGTAGGTGTGCATTTAGTGGAAACTTACTGCATGTTGGTGAAGGTCGCTCGTTAACATTTAAAACCTCATTTCGAGACCGGAGCGAATAAAAAATAATGACTGAATAGAGTTCTAGACTAGAATAATATCTACTAAAGTATCTATCCAGATTTATTTTCATCATTTGTATTTACATTTGTAGTTAGCATTGTCGTACTTGAAATTGATAATGGAATCATTTAAAGAAAATTTTCATATGATTACTTGCTTGTAGCCTAAGGGCTGGTATTTTTCTTTTTAACAATCTGGAACACCTATTGACAAGAATCTAAAAGGTTTCCATATTATAATTCAATTACATTTTTTATTAGGCAAAGTAAACCAGGTCACGAACGGCACGATTCCTTTATTGAATCTAATTACGTCGTAATTGTTTCAGCGAGCCGTACATACGCGAGAACCTTACTGGCATCTCCATGGGTCTGGCGAGGGGCAGGGTCACACCTATGGATGTCGTCAGGGTTGAAACTAAAACCAGTGTAAGCTCTAATTAAAGTTTTTGCATCGATACAGATAGAAATTTCTACAATAACCTTATCACTGTTGCATATCGATTCCTTTATGAAGTCAATCAATATGTTTACATAATCATCAACAATTTATATGTATATCTAATTAACCTTTTTGTCGTAACAGTTTCGTTATCCGCGACAAAGATAATGTTACACTATTCAATTGAATGCGTCCGTCACACTCGTAACAAACAAGGAGAGTTGATGCGGATACAATTATTCTTGCTGTTACGTTCATATCTACCCGATTATCGTTCGTGTGACGCATATTTGTCACGACATGTGCCATATGTTCAGTCGCAATTCTGTTTTAACATGATTTATTATACTTAATATCTAATTTTGATTTCAGATTATGTTCTCGTTTCTGTCGGTTGGCTGGGGTCTGCTTTCCGACATCGACATCGAGAGCGAGCGGCTGCGGGCTATAGGCGGACAGAGGTTCGCATTATGGGCGCTGGCGAGATTAGTCGGCTTAAGAAAGTACAAAGGCGTGCTTAGTTACGCTAAAATTAAGGATGTGAACAATCTTCCGAAACCCAAACTGCCGATCACCCTCAGCCACAGCGTCAGTCAGGACGGCGCGCTCGACTCCCCCGATGCGGAAGCGTTCATTGACTGCGACGAGCAGACTGAAGTCTTCACGAACGCAGTGAATGGTAAACATCAGCGAGTCGATTCCTGGTACTCGGTAAATTCGAGAAGGAGTGCATTTTACAGCACAAGAGGGTCCGAGTATCACAGCGTAGCCAGCGGCGGTTCGGAGATGCGGTCCCCCGTGCACGCGTGTATGCACGGCCCCGCCTCTCATCTGCCCTCCCTCATGTCACAGCTGCCCTCACACTGGGTTCACGAGGAGGGCGAATTCGTCATGGTGCATGTATCGTACCAGGCGTACATAGGCGAGGACTTGCTCTTCGCTCCTCGCTCGCAATTGTCCGACGGGGTCATGTGGATGCTTATCATTAAGGCGGGTATACCCAGATCTCAAATTCTATCGTTTCTCCTTGGTATGAGTCAAGGGACCCATTCCGACGTGAACACGGAGTACATAAAAATGATTCCTGTTAGTGCATTTAGAATAGTTCCCGAGGGACCCGACGGTTATTTGACAGTCGACGGCGAGCTTGTAGAATACGGTCCACTTCAAGCGGAAATATTCCCTAATATAGTCCATCTCCTCGTTCCAGATACAAAATAATAAGATATGTAAATGAAAAGAATTTTCTTAAATGACTGATATCAACCTGCCACTTAACCGAGCCTATGTTGAGATATAAAAGACATAATAATCTGTTACTGAATGGTTGTGGTCAAACTCAACTTTTTAAATTCTAACCTCTATTTACTGATGGGAAATTATATGAAGCATTCCATTGCAGTTGTGATTTAAGTTATATTAAATATTGTGTAATTATTACAGTAATAATTTATGGATTTGTTTAAGTTAAAATTGTGATATTTTGTTGTAAGCTCTTCAAAACAATCACATCTAGTTGCTAGTCACGTTTGTCAAATGTATGGAACTAAGTGCCAAATTTTTTATGCACTTACAAACATATTTACCCAAGGAATTGATCATTTAATGCAATTTTATTTGTTTTTCTTGAGTTTTATTTTATTCAAATTTTTTTTACAGCTAAAGCGCAGCTTTTAAGATCTAGACAATTTTATTTAAATAATGTTTTTTTATAAAATTGTTTTAAACAATTTTTATTTATAAAAAAATGTTTTTGTTTGCCTGTCGCTGGTACTGAAATAATACATTTTAAAAAAATGAAATATTTTTCCTTAGTTCTATATTATTTTTGCAATTTTTCATTAAAGCATTTAACGCTTTGGCGTCATATTTCCTTTGAGGCACAATTTTTTTAAGAATTACATTAAGATAATGCTTGCCCTATTATGTTGTCGAGATATTATATTTTATTGTAATTTTATTAAAAAAAATATAAGGGTGTGTGCATTAATTTAGATAATAGTTTTGAATGGTTTTGGGATGTGTGATTCTACTTAATATTAGCAGTATTAATTTATTAAGTGTACTTTATAATATTTCTGTGATAATAAAATTTTCTGCCATAGATGCCTACAGAGCGAAACCCCAGTAATTGGTTTTCTGTTTTTTTTTTAAATATTGTTACGCATTTTCTACAAATGCCTTTTTAAAGTTTTTTTCACTTTCAATTGGTTTTAATTTTCAACACTATTACCATAAGTTGAAAATGAACATTATTGATATCTCTGGTTTTTTTTAAAGAGAATATCAGAGATGCATGTTTTTGTACAAATGTTACAGTAGTGGCAACCCAAAGAATAAATAAATAGCACACCTTCATTGAAATTTTTAACATTTTAAAATTATTTAATCTGTAAACTGTACATAAATATTAAGATATGTTGAGTTCAAATGTTACTAGAGTTTATTCAATGTTTTACAATTGCATGCAGCATTGATAATAACCGTCAAGAAATTTATGAACTTTAAAAGTTTATAAAAATGTTACTAATAAATAATTAATATTTTGATAGCGTTTTTATTATTTTTCATCTAGATGAGAAAAGAGGAGCAAAAATCGTATGATGTAGACATTTACTACTATGAATTAGAATGAACTTTTTTATCCATATAATGGTTCATGGCTTGAAAAAATTCTTTTTCAAGGGATTTCACATACCTTTTTCAAATTAAACCATGATAATGTTTTAGAATGTAAGTATACCTTCTATAATCATACACCACACATTTAATTTTCTATTTCCAAGTATTTTTTGAACTTACTTTTTCAATGAGTTTATTATTTTTCTAAACAAAGGTCTGTTAATAAAACATTAAAATACCATTGAAAATCAAACATGTTTATTTCTTATATCATATACAATTTCATGTATTATTTCTAAATATTATAATTAAATCTTATAACTATTAAATCATGGCAAACATTTCTTGTTTATGTGAAACAAACATGAATTTGTCACAAAGTGAAAATGATAAAATTAAATTAGAAAATATATCTATTATTCACATTAGGAAATTAAAAGATTTATTATTAGTTTTGTAGATAAATAAAAACATTTATAATAAATTTATCTGAGTTTTAAAGAGTCAAGACTGTCAAGTAAATTTTGAACTTCCGACTCCACTTGCTCCCGTGTGCTAATACACTCAAGCCTCTGACGGACGGATTCGAGATCACCAGAATCAGCTTTTTGAATTTTCATATATTTAAGCATCATCTCAACAACAAGGCAAATTTCACTAATAAGTTGGCGAGTCTCTTCAAAATAACCGGCACCGCTTGGACGCATTTGAATTAGTTTTAATTTACTTTGAGCCAATTGAATGGGATTTCGACCATTCCTGTCATTGGAATTAACATCTGTACCAGCATCAAGCAGTTCAATTACCACAGGTATATGATTAGTACATGCCGCAAGGTGCAATGGGGTGTTACCAAGAGTATCTTTTATATTAGGGTTAGCGCCGTGCCTTAACAGAACTTTTACAACATCGACGTATCCACGACATGCTGCTAAATGTAAAGGACTTCGTTTATGCTCATCTGAAGAGTTCGGATCAGCGCCCGAAGACAGTAATTTTTCCACAAGTTCGGAGTTGTTTGTCGAAGCAGCAAATCGAAGCTTCTGATTTCTTGTTGAATAAATCGTAGCACTGCAACGATATTTAATCCGGCAATGTCTGGCCTTCGTGGTACATTTTATTTTACCAATTAAATCGTGAGGTTCGTCGAAGAAATCTCTTGATATCCCCTCATTTCCAGGCAAGTCTAACGAATTTGCTAAGGGATTAAATTCTATAATACACGGAGAATGATCAATGTTTTGATTATCACTACTTTCATTACTGGTGTCAACTCCGGAGTCTGCCATTATTCATTCAATTCTTTCTGCTTAGAAAGTTATCTTACTGCTTTCAACTCCTGAAGAAAATTCACTTAAACGTTCTAATAAACCCAGTACGAAACGAATAAAATAGAAATCATAAAAATAAAAATCTTTGAGCTGAGCACTGATTGAGTGATTGATTGTAGGAATAAAAAAAATAAAGTTAACTGAGTGTTGCTAGTTACTATCCAGTTTCTTGCTACTTATTTATTTATAAACGCTTTATATACTTGCTAATTCATGTTCCTTAGCATTACAAGATAATGACAACAAAAATTAAAATCCAAATACTTAATTTGCATTATTGTGAATTACGTAATGTAAAGGTATAAAAATAATTAACATTTCTGTATACTCTGTAAGACTGAACTTTGAAAATGACAAACAGTGACAGGTGGTAAGGCGAAATTGACAGCGACAGCGTATTGCGAATCGTTTTCAGAAGTTATTTCTGAGATATTTTTAACAATATTGCTGCGTAAATTCTATAAGACATGCAGCAGCTCACGATATTCATGGTAAGTAAAAATTTTCAATAAAAATTAAAGTAACTGCAATTGTTATTTATTGGTGTTTAAATAACCTAAATTATTTTACCGCAAGGATATCGAAAGCTCTCGTTCGTATATCGATGAGCTGTATTCATCAGAGGCTGATAAAACGTTAGAAGCGTTAGTGACTTTAAAGAATTCAGTTATTGGAAGTAATAGACAAAAAAGTTCTGTTATACGACAAGGAATTGTGCCGCGATTGCTACAGCTGATGTCTGATGAAACACTCGATGCTGATGTTAGATTGCAAGCTACTATAACAATAGGTAATATATTTCTCCATACATTTAATTGCGCTCTGTTGACATAGAACAATTTATATTTAGATTAATATTTCAAAGGCATTGAACACTAAAAACAATATTTGTTGCATTGACCTCTGATATCAATGAGTTTTGCTCTATTCTTAGTTGATAGCGAACATAACATATTTCTGATTTCGTATTATGTGTTTATTATTTACTAATTAATTAGTAATAAGAAGTATGACAGACTTATTGATCAATTCAACTAATTTATTAGTATATAAATTTACTTATTAAATATTAGGCCAACCATGATCTCTGTAAGTTAGATCTACTCTTATTATCTGTCTTAAATAAACACAGTCAAGGTTGTATTTATTAGGTTTATTTTTAATTTAGTTGTTTTCATTTCACCAGGTTCACTGGCCAAAGGTACAACAGAAGATGTCAGTACACTAGTGGAGCAAGGAGTTGTTACCTCATTGGTGCAGTTGTTAAAAACAGTCCCTATAGATACAAAATTAATGGAGGCTGTGCTTAGTGCTTTGAAAAGTTTCTTCCTACATTATCCACCACCAGTTTCAGCGTTGCCTGCGGATATGAAATTGTTAGCTAAATTGACACGTAAGTATTTTATTAACTAGCTGTTCTCTTTTACTTCGTCCATGTGGGATGAAAAAATATAGCCTATGTGACTCACTGATAATATAGCTTTTTAATAGTGAAACAATTTATGAAATTGGCACAGCAGTTTTTTAATTATTTCAATATGTACAAAAATACAGATCTTTCCTCTTTATAATATTAGTATAAACAATTTTTATAACTAGACATTTAACAAAACTTGCTGATATTTGCTGAAGAATCAATTACACTTTTGTACAATACTTTTGCTAATATACACCCAAAATCCAAAGAAAAAATTGATGAAAAAGCGATAAGCCAAGATCATGGCAAAATGCATAAACAGGCTATATTCAAGTTTATTAGTTTCGCATTACTAGTTTTCTTTTTGCAATAACAAGTAAATTTATTTAACCTTTTTGATTACAGAAATAGCACGGGAAGGTTCTCTAAACTCCAGAGCTTCTATAGTTCGGATACTATCAATATGGGTTGGAGGGCCAATAGAGCAGGAAGCTCTCTGTTCCTCTGGTACCCTGGAGGCAGCAGCAGCATTGCTAGCATCACAGTCATCACCACCGCCCACCCTCGCTTTACCAGCTCTTGATCTGCTAGCAGCTGTATGCTATGAGAATGCCAATGTATCACAGATTGCATTGAACACACGGTATGTATACACAAGTTGCATATTTTAACATTTGAAAACTATATATATATATATTTTTTTTTATGTTAATTTTACTATTTAATTAGTAAATAAGTGTGTATAAGACATTAACCCTTTATTCGATAGTGTCCAGTGTGACGAACTAATTTAAAAAAAATCTGTTTCATTTATATCATCACATTCATATTTCATATTTCCTCATATACTCAACCAAGTTAAGAGTTAAATAACTATACCATAGATTTTAATGTTGCTTAATGACATCAATTACGGCATTGCTATTTATTTGTGAATAACAGCATCATAACAGTAATGACATAATTTTTCTTTACAAATAGTTTAATATTGTACATTTCTTAATATTTGTACTAACTCTGTATTAATTCACATCCGATTAACTTTGTTTTGAGTTAATTTTTCTTATAATGAAAACAGTATATAAACTTATAAACCATTCTTGATATATATCAAACTCTTTTCTACTATTTATTTACTAATATTTTCACCAGCTAAAATATAACAATAAAATGTTCGGTTTCGTTTTCACCATATAAATGTTTAGTATATAGGTAAATATTCACTATATTTGTTAATTTATTGACATAGACCTATGCGTTTTAGGCATGGTGACAAAACGATACCCGAACTTCTAACGTTTCTAGTGTCACGTGACAAGCCTCTGCCGGTCGCGCTCGGCGCCGCGCGCTGTCTCACCTTTTTGCACCGCGCGGGGGCTCTGCCGCCGGATGATAACAGGTATACTATACACTAAATGAACATTAAAAAAAACAAAAAAAATGTTACACTGGCTGTTGACCTAAAACTTACAAACTCGTGTAACACTTTCACGTACAGTAGCGGAAATCCGCGGTGTATAAAATTAAGACTGTACTAAAGAAACACACTACCATACAAAAAAACAATTTAGTAATACTACGGGATAAAAAAAAATCGTACTTTACGACTTTTTTTCGTAAATACATATTGAAAGGCTACCTATTCGTTGTTCAGCGTCTTAATGTGAACAAAACGTTCAAACGACTGGCTCTTAATGTAGAACACCACCAAATCCCCCGATTGTACATTGTCTCCGGTAGCATGTGCGTTGAGTAAAAGATTTACAGACATGTGATTATGGAAACTTCCAAATTGCAAGAATATGCTATATCATTGTATTGCGATTCCTTTTTAACAGACATATAACATGCAATTATTGGGTCATTGCCAAATTTGTATATCTTACTGAAGCCAAAACGACCGATGGATTTAGGGTAGGGTCTTTGTGTTTAATTTTATTCGTCCTCAATTACAAACGTAAACGCCATTTTACATCCGAAAACAATTACTAAATAAATATGACTTTTTAAATTGTTTTTTAATATCCCAAGAGATTAAAGAAATATACACAGTAGTTGATACTTCATTTGAGATATTTTTCATATGATCACTAACGCTATATCAATAAGATAGTCTCAAAACCACATATCAATGTATATAATTGTATTCAAAATAAGTGCCAATGGGTGTCATTAAATTATATTTAGGGCTTGTCCCAACACTGGCTGATAGCGGCCCAGATAGCTTAAAATGACGTCACTGTCAGACAAGGTAACAAAATCCGATGTTTCATTCACATTTTACACGTTGGATTTTTATCAGACAAATTAAGAATTCGGTAGGACTGACACTTAATTGTTTATATTTTCTGTGACACTGCTTATATGTTTTAGTTTATTTTATAAAAAAGATGGGGCTTATTATAATTTTGTAAAATGTTTTATTACATGTCAATACAAGGACACTAGGTGGCGCTAAATTTGACAACTAAGATAGTACCTTTCAGAGAAAGTACCGGTGAAAAATTTTTGTTGTGTATGTCTAGTCTATATATTTTATATGTGTTTGTTAATACCAGAGTGGTTTTCGGTGCATTGCCGTGTCTGGCGCGACTGTGTACCAAAGACATACCGGAGGACATAAGGGCAACGGCCGCTGAAACTTTGGCATACTTAGCTGAGGTATTGAAACTTTGATTTAATAATTCACAAATTTAAGCACCAATAGCCTAATAGTTTGGGAATACCGATTTTTGAGGGTTCGAATCCCGCCATTCCACTATTGTGAACCATATTCTAGCACAAACCTAGAGCTTAGTTGGAATGGTTAAAGGAAATATTAGTAATTTAATATGAATTTAAGAATATTTTAATATAAAAAAGACCAACAAACACACATCGGCGATTTTATTCGCTGAAATGAATCGACCGCTACACATATCTGCAAAAGCAGATATGTTTTTAAACGACGGAGGAGGGGCACACACAGAAAGAGTATATTTTTTCTATGCGTCTGTCAGGATGGCTTTTCTGTCCAAGTTAACACTCTTATGCTACTATATATTTTTGTATACTAAAGTTAACTGGCAAAACAATGCGGCGTGTAAAGTGTTTAAAGAATTATAATTGTTTTTTTTTTAAATAGTGCATTTTTTGTTTCAGGTTGATACGTCATTACAAAGGTTAGCAGCGATATCGAACCATTTGATGTGTTCGCTCGCAGATTTAGTGGAGTGTCCCTCAGGGGTCGCTAAGGAAGGCGCATTTAAGTGTTTCGCGTCTCTGGGAGCTAATGACGAAGATATCAGAAAGAGGATAATAGAAACACACGGTCTTATGGTGCATGTTGTATACGGAATGAATAATCAAGATGCCACTGTAAGTTATTTTATACCATTACTAGCCGTTGCTCGCGGCTTTGTCCGCGAAATAAATATACCCTATGTTACACACAGATAAATTACCTTACTATTGATGAAATTTAAAAGTGGGTTTTTATTAATGTGATTAGTTTTGTATGATATTAATGGGGAGAAAATTTCCTTATGCTTAATTCCTAATGACTTTTGACAGATTTGACATATGTCAAATTTGAATTATGACATCTATCGAATGTAACACAGATAATCAATGGTCTTTGTTGCCAGCTATTTCAAGTTTTTTTCACCTATTGAAGTGTTTAATTTGAATTTCAGGTAAGATTAGCAGCTGTAAGATGTTTGCACTCGCTGTCTAGATCAGTTCAGCAGTTGAGGACAACATTTCAGGTGAATATTAAAAAACCACCATTTATAGTTTAACAGACTTGAAAATAAACGCGATATAAAGTTAAACTTAGATATAAACTGAGTATAATTTTTGCTTATATTCAATTTATTCCTAAGTTTAATTTTATACCGTTTTCATTCGTAAGGCCGTTAGTGTTCTTCCAGATTTTTGTCTAAATGTTTTCGACATGCATAGTAATAACATCCATCCATCATTTTATTACATTACTATAATCTAGTAATAGCACTTTAGCTTAATATTATATGTTTTTACATATAGAACCAAAAGACATTTGAAATTATATAGACTAGACGTGGACAACATTTTTTCACTGGTAACTTCTTTGAAAGGTACTACGTTAGTTTGGTCTTTGTATTGACATGTGATAAAACATTTTAGAAAATTATAATAAGCTCCATTTTTGTTAGAAAATAAAATAAAATATATACATTTAAATTTTATTTTTTGTAACCTATTGCCAATTAATTTAAATAAATTAATTTATTAATATGTTGTTTCAAGGACCTATTATTAGTGTTAGTGTAAAATGTTTTCAACTATGTTCCTCGATATGTTTTTGAATGCTATGTTTTTCAATAAAAATATTTCTTTTCTATATGTATTTAGCTATTTCTTTGTACAGGACCATGTGGTGTGGCGGCCTTTAATGCAATTATTGAAGGACTCTCCGGACACAGAGTTGCTGACTGTAGGAACTTCAACACTCTGCAATTTACTGCTAGAATTCTCACCTGCGAAGGAACCTATGTTAGACCAAGGTACTTTAACTAATTTTATAATAAAATATTTCTGGTATAATGCCTATGCGTTCTTTTAGACTATCCTCTACAACTATGCCAAATTTCATCGAGATTCGTTCAGCCATATAAACTACAAATTCTAATAAACATCCATCCATCCATCTAAACTTTTGAATTTTTAACATTAGTAAGAGGTAAGATTACAAATAGCACTCTCTCTTTGTATATTATTTAATAACTCTGTTTCTTATTGTGATAAAATTCTTGTTTTTTTTAATTGTTTTAATATGTTTTTAAATTTCAACAGGTGCTGTAGAAATGTTATGTAATTTGACGAAAAAACCCGAAGCTGCGCTAAGATTGAATGGAATTTGGGCTTTAATGAATATGGCGTTTCAGGTAAGTTATCCATTTTTACTTTATTCTGTTACTTTTTGATCGTTTAATTTTTTACAATAAGAAACTAGGTTGTACTCGTGACTTCGTCTGCAATGAGTTAAACAAAGAAAACAATTAGTAGCCTATGTGTTTTATCTGATTAAGTTTTACTGTGCCAAATATCATCAAGATCCAATGAGACATATTGGAGAGACAAACAAACATCCATCCATCTAAACTTTTGTATTTACAATATTAGTAACATATAACATTGTTAGACGCCAGTAATAACAATACCACGACCACACAGAAGATAGTGAAGTGAAAGTAATTCCGCGAACAATTTAAGAAGTGTGCTGGCCATACAATTTATTTAAGTTCACATTCCCTTTTCACCCTTTAATTATAAGCAAATAACAGAAAGGTAGAGTAAATTTGACGAATGTTGAGACACAGGAAGGGGAAATATCCTCTCTCTGTCGATTAAAGGCAGACAACGCTTATACTTATCTATGGGCAACGGCTTCGCTATTTCAGCGAATCCAGGTGTCTTATCTGCTATCTTATGATAATTTCTGTTTAATTCCAGGCGGAGCAGAAAGTGAAACAACGTATCCTATGTTGTTTGGGAACGGAGCAAATGTTTCGGTTACTAAGTGACAGAGATACACGAGTTATTATGAAGACATTGGGCCTTTTAAGAAATTTATTGTCAACGCGGCAGCATATAGACGCTATTATGAGCGAATATTCCTCACAAGTTATGCCGGTAATTATATTTTTAAGTTATCCTAGGGTCAAACTTTACTAGCTTTTATTTTTGACTAAAAAAATAGCAAATAAATAATGTTACTTAGATAATTAGCTTTATAATGGTGATTTTGAATCGGCTTAATAGTTTTTATATCATAGACAAAAATACAAATCTTTCCTCTTTATAATATTAGTATACTATCCCGTCATTCGATTATTGTAAACCATATACCACATACCAGCTTAGTTGGAGTGGTTAAAGGAATTATTAGTAAACTGGCTTTCGCTCGCGACTCGGTTCGCGTGGGATTGAAAAAAAAAAACAAAACTGAGTAGCCTAAGTGTTCTTCCAGACTAGTCTCTAATATGCCAAATTTCATCAAAATCTGTTCTAATCTAAAGTTTCACATTTATAATATTAGTAAATTAACAAAAATATACTATTTTTTGTTTGAAATTATTGATTTTCTTAATAAAAGTAGTGAATGTCAGGCAGTGATCGTGGTGCTGGAGGGCTCGTACCCCACGGAGGTGAAGGAGCAGGCGCTCTGCATCCTCGGCAACATCGGCGACGGCGAGCGCTCGCGCGACCTCATCATGGACAACGAGGACCTGCTCCGGAAACTTGTGGACTACCTGGTTAGTTACTGATCAAAAGCATATTCCAATATATACAAAAATACAAATCTTTCCTCTCTATTCTATAAGTATAAATGTAAATGAGAAGTAAAACGAATTTAGGGTCTATCTAAAATATGTATTTTAACGAGTTAATTAAACGTATATTGTGTACTTCTTTTAAATTTTAAATGTGTGGTGTAAATTCAAACAACTAATACATCTATATTCTACTAGTACAAACGCCGTATTTAAAGTCGTAAATTGGTGACTAAAAATGACTCTTAACACAAATTTTATATACCTAAAGAAAAATTTATGATTGGGCGATATCGCTTTACGTTCTCATTTACCATTTTGGGCTATACATGGGAATCTGTGATTCGCATACCAATAGCGGCCTCCTTTTGGACAAATGCTTCTTAACACCAGCCTTGACATATTGTTAAGAGCATATTTACAATTGTATGTGACTGGTGTCAGGCTCACCCCGAGAGCAAGCTGCAGGGCGCGGCGCTGTTCGTGGTGACCAACCTGGTGTGGCGCGAGGAGGCGGGCGCGGAGGCGCGCCAGGCTCGCCTCGCCGAGCTGGGCGTGCTGCGCGCGCTCAAGCTGCTCTACGCGCGGCAGGACGCCGGCCCGCTGCACGACAAGTACGCACAGTACGCACTCCACAGTACACACAGTACGCACAACACAGTACACAAAGTACACACAGTACACACAGTACGCACAGTACGCACAGTACACACAGTACGCACTGTATGCACAGTAAACACGCACGCACCAACGACAACTCAACAAACGGTGACACCAGACCTTTAAGAAATATACAGACTAGGCATAGTAAACATTTTATCTCGATACTTTCTCTGAAAAGTACTATCTCAGTTGTCAAGTTAAGTGCCACCTCGTGCCCTTGTTTTGACATGTAATAAAATATTCCACAAAATTATAATAAGCTCTATTTTTTTTTTCAATAAACTAAACAGCGTCAAAAATAAAACATAGAAATTCAACGATTTTGTAAAAAATGTCTCAATTGAATTGTCAACTATGCCCAATCTGTGCATATATTTTTTAATCTCTTTGGCTGTGACATACATAAAAATGACGAGTTTCGCGGATATACTATAAGACAGTTATCGTAATATAATAAAGTAATTTTAGTCAAGCTGTCAAATGATTCTTTAGTACTAAAATGTACGTTATTATCATAATTTATTGATTTATGTATTTGCAGAGTGACGGCGGTGCTGTCGCAGTTCAACGAGTTCACATAACGCGGTGCAGGAACAGATTGGTGCAGTGCTTGTGATCTGACAGTGAGTTATCGAGTCATGACTGTTATCTAGTTGATAGTTGGTGATCGCTAAGTGTATTGTACATAGCTAAGTTCGCTACTTAGTATTGTTATCACAGGAGGCGTGTAGGAGTAAAATCAGTCGCGTTCAATATTTCAAACTCAAACAAGTTACAGAAACATATTTTAATGGCCATTAAATTCATTAGAAACACGTTTCTAATGAAATTAATATCCATTAGAAACATGTTACTAATGAAATTAATATCCATTAGAAACATGTTACTAATGAAATAAATATCTATTAGAAACATGTTTATTGATGTTTTTAATAATTGTTGGTTTGAAATGATTGAACGTTGCTACTTTTACTTCTACATGTCACTCATATGTTATCGAAAAATTATTTATTTTAATTTATCATGTTGACATCTTGTGAATCATTTGTCGATCAGTTAATTTATCATAACCTAGTATTGATTTTTTTTTTCATTTATTCATAGCGGTATACAAAGACGTCTTCCGCTGTCCTAGTTAACCTGAAAATATGCATTGTTACTAATAAATGATGATTTTTTCAACAAATAATCCTTTATTACATATTACCAACCTTTGTGGTGCTAATTGTAAATTAGTTCCGTTTTTACATTAAAACAACAAATGTACAATAAATAAAATGAAATTTAAAATGGCATCTAAACGATATTCATTTTTCAGTACACAATAATTAGTACATAGACATGAAATTATTTTTTTAAGATTGTCATAAATTATTACGTAACCTAACATTAATTTCTATATGGTCACAATTTTCTGCTATAATTTGGCTTTCTGTTATTAAAAAAAAAAACAAAATAACCACTTTCTTAGTGGCAACATTCTTTGTGACAGAAATAAATAAAAATTTCGCGCGTTTTTTGCAAGAATTATATTATGTTATCTATGATATTATTGCTACTAAATATTGTACTTAAAACGCAATGGATGAATGTTTAATTTGTATATACTTGAATTACATTTGCGAAAATTGTTAAAAAATCACGATATTAAAATCAATGTTTTAAATTATATGCTATAGATATTATAACCTATCGATAACTGTCACAAGTGAGGGGAAGAAAGGCCTCTGATGCTCAGTGTTGCCATTTGAAAGATATGCGAAAGATATTATATAAAATTGTTGTGTTAAGAATACTCATTGAATTTATATAAAAATTTATAGCACATTAGCAACAATTAACAATAAAATACATTGATTGAAGTATAAAAGAAAATTTTAAAATGCGTTTCAAATAATACATATAAAACCAGCGCCATATTGTGGCGTCGCTGTCAAAATAAAAAAACCATTTTAAATACATTTATATTAAAACTCAGAGTTAAAATGTTTTGTTAATAACTGGTTCATTTTAGCATCTTATTTATCCCAAATATAGATTACAAGGTTTTTATTTTTTTATAATGTACATATATAAATATGAAGGATTTGAATACATAAACTTGTCGCTAAGATGTTTTTGAACTGTGATTCAAAGGACTGATGATAGTTTAAAAAAACAAATACAGGACAATGTACACGTGGGATAATCAGCAACAAGATATTTATCCGATATTTATATGTTTAAGTATTTTCTCGAATATTAAATATTTATTCATTATACAGAAGAACCTCGATAACTCAAACCAAAAAATATGTTCCCTTCTTAACAGAGTCCAAAACCTAAACATAGACCCTTGATAACTTAAAACCTCTATAACTTAAAATATTTTGTGTTTCCCTTGGACTTTAACTTATCGAGATTCTACTGCATTTATTTTGTATATGTGTGCTATACGATCATATTTTATTTCATAAATATTTTGATAAACTTTAATTTTGTTTTGTTGCTGACTGTACTTCCTGACAACGGATTAAAATTCATTCTGTACTAGCTTAATTTCTGTTGTGAATATTATTACATAAAAATTTTACAATCATGTACCATTATTATATTTGATGTTAATATGGAATTACCTAATTTAATTTCGTAATTGAAATTTAAAAATATATATCCAGTTATGTTTCCCTGTTATGGATTAAAATGAAATGATAAATGCAATATTGTTGTTTTATTTATTTTATCTTTAAAATCGCCTGTATTTTTTATATTAAAATTATTTTTAAATGTGAGAGAGGAATGTTTACTACGTGAAAGCGTTTGTAACGTCCGTGGACATGATTAATGAGAGCGTAGTAGAACGGTTTACATTAATCTTACGACCCACGAGATAACAAATGCTAAAAGTATGTTTTTATCACAATATATTATAGTAAAGACTAGATGTTGGTCGCGACTTCGCACGCGTCAAATTAAAAAATAATAACACCATAGCCTATGTTACTCACAGATAATTTACCTTTAACGGTGAAAGAATTTTTAAAATCGACTCTATAGTTTTTACGTGAATCGAATACATACAAAAATATAAATCTTTCCTCTTTATAATAATAGTACAGATAAAAATCTTTAGCAATTTTTGTAATCTATTTATAAAATGTTAGGAATTCCTGTTTCAAAAATTTTAAAACCCCGTAACATTTTAGGAATTCCTTTTTCGTAATAAGGCAACAAACTTTTCCTTCTACGGCACGAAAATTACATAGCATTAAATTTTCTACGCAAAAGCCGACTGGCCGCTCGCCAACATATAAAACAATTGACCGGCTCAAGGTGCAATTTTATATCTATAGGCCAATGAAGCGGATTTTACTATTTTACGTTTATTGAACTTTTCAAATGTCAAGACTTAGTTAACTGGAATGGATTTGATTATTGATTAAAAATAGCTTAACATTGTTTAAAATGAAATAAAACCCGGTTTAAATTAGAAAATCGTTCAGAATAACAACTAAGTAGAAATCAATTGCTTATATAATATCATTTTGTACGAGTTTTTATGCTTAGTTATTACAATTTTTTATCAATAATATCTCAATTATAATCATCTTCAATGTGGAGTGTTTCGTTTCCGTCTAGTCCAAGCATCAAAAGCTTTGTTAACAAAAGTCACGTCGCGTCGCAGACAAAATACTTGAATCTAGACATTTAAATTGTGATTTCATTGTCAAATAACAATAAGTTTTATCCAAATTTAAAGATACCGATCGGATGTTTTGATCTGCAGTCAAAATTATTTTATTTTATGTTATACATTACAAATAGGTACTTGTCTTTTTTTAAGTTGCCTAATCAATTTTATAAATATTACTCAATTAAAACTTGCTTCTTACTAATATTATAAATGTGGAAGCTTAGATGGATAGATGTTAAAAAGTATCTCAAGAGCGACTCAACGAATCACGACGAAAAGAATGGTAGAACATATAGGTGGAATTTCGTTTTTCAATTCCGCGGAGACGGTGTCACATGGGACAGTTAGTAAAATATATTCTTGTTACTTAAAAATAAATCTAACTTTGTAATAAATGTATCCATGCAAGATCTTACAACTTTGTCATATTGGTAGTACTGTAGCGTGTGTTAAAGCGTCCTATCGCGATGGGAGTCACGTTCTCAATAACGAAATTGTTCCGCAACATTCAATATTTGTTGTTTGTTTAATGCATTTCAATTCAAATGAGTTTTTGTAGCAAAAGACCTGCCAGCATAGACTAAAACATAGAATAAAGAAAGAAAATATGTATATTGTTTCTAGTTCTCTGAAGATAATGTATTGTTCATAAACAAGTATTTCAATAGAAACTAACAGTAAAGCGATATTAATTCTTCTTGATGAAACAGATAAGCATTTATTATTTAATATTTCATTACAAAAATATTTTGAATTTAGGTAAATTATAAAAATCATATTATAGGTCACAAGAAAAAAATAATGTAATAAAAAAAAACAAACGTATTCTAAATTCAATTCAGATTTCAAAGATATTTTGTGGGCTTCTTTGCCTTACTAATGTGTTCGAAGAATTTGATATAAGAAATTCTCTTTTCGATGATATTTATATCTTATTTTAGGTTACGCATTTCTTATGGAGAAATTCCATCGCAAAAAGGAATATAACAAAAAGTATCGCCTTTTTACAACCCTTTTGAGCGATCCAATACTTTCTTGTTGACATATTTTATCCATCAAATAATACTTTAGTTTCTTCATATAATTACCTACGTCAGATACTTACATATTGATTGATGTTATTTAAATTCGACAAATATATTATAATAATACTTATTACTTGTATTGTCTATCTGTTCATGATATTAACCTTACAGACTTTAATAGTCCAATATTAACCGTAAAACCAGACGATAGTTCGTAACAAAAAAAAATCACAAGTGTGCCAATAGTGCAAGCCCAACATAGATCGACGTTGAAAAAAATGTGCTTTATAAAATATGCCATGTCAGGACATCGTAGGCGTTAGTGTCACAGTTGACAGAGACATGTGCCCGCATAATTTGAACACGTCACGGGTAAAATGCAACGCCAATGACGACGTCCTTTTGACCATATTACCTTAATATTAAGATAAGATTTAGTTATTGTTTTTCTATAAGGAAACAATCAGCAATTAAATTTCGCATGTATTGGAGATAATATAGTTTAAATCAGGCATAATTCATCATCCGCAATGTACACCAACATTTCGCCTGAAAATTGAAAAAAGTCGATAAAGGAACAAATCTACATTGTTACACATTTTAAAAACTGAATAATTACAAAGAGAGGTACTCATTTTATTTATTATCTGTACTTGTTTCTCCTTACGTCTAACTGTAAAATATAAAAATACACATTTGTCTTCTAGAGAATAATCCAGCAATTCATGTGAAGAGTACAAGCGTTTCATTAGTCCGCGTTACTGCTTGCTCGCTGAACTCTGCTGTAATTAATCTCTATTTTAAACTTTCCCAGTTTAATTTTCAAACTATTTACTAGTAACTAATTTATCCATCAATTTAAAGACATGTTCTACCAATGAGTTTATATGTTTTTTTACTATATTTTGTACAAACATAAAAAATCTTATATAGCAAGAAAATTGTATCCAATTGCGTATTTATCATTTTGGCGCGCTTTTCGCACCTCGGGCTTGACAAATGAGAAATGAAGCCGTGCTGTACCAAGATGGCGGCCAATATGTTATGCCGGCAAGCTGTCGACTGCAGAATTTAATGTTTCACTTCCACATAATAGCTAGCATTCATAAGTTATAAGTAATTTTACTCAAAATGTTTTCTCAGATTTATTTATAATTCATATTATCTATAGTAACATAAAGGTTAATTAGAGATTAACAAAGGTTACATAACAATGTACGGTCCGTGTTACGCAGTTAACATCTCCCTCGGGCAGGCAATTACCGATGTGAAGCGACGCGGAAGGATTCGATTGTTAATATCGCTTGTGTTGCAGGTCACTTTAATCACAAATTCAATTTGTATGAATAGGATTAACTGATATTGGGAAACACGTTAACATAAAACCATAGAGTTTTTAACAGTTTTAAAAACTTGAGATGAATAGAGGGCGTCATGGTCGTCATCCGTAGAATTTAAGAAGTTCTCGGAGTTCGAAAGAATAGTGGTAAATGAAATTGTTGAATTGAATCGTATTTTTGGTTCGTTTAAGTCACGTAACAATTACGGTCGAGGGCTCGGGTCCGCTCTTTGCGGTTCTTTATGTGGTCGTACAACGTGACATTCGGCTTTTATTTGTAACAAAACTTTTATGGTCTGTTTTAAAATTGCGAAGTATTAGTCGTTAAAGAACGGAAACGTCAGCGATAAATTATATGAGAGGAGTAACAGGAAGATATAGTATAGTTACAATAATAAAATTGTTATTATTTTTGATGGCAGACAAATAATAATCAGTTTTTAAGAAATTATAGTTTTGATTAATGTTTGTTCCCAGTAAACAGAGAGCGGATTTTTTTCCAAATAATGATTTTTACAACATAAGGAAATAAAGTAAAAATTCTCGTCTTACTAAGAAAATCAAATATCTTCATAGTTGACCCAGTTTAGCAGGTCAAACAGAGGGCGTATTTGCTTATGAATTTTTAAATGAATCTGGTCCGACACGGCTGCGTACTTTTGAATAATTGTATGTATGTTGTTTTTCTAAAACCAAAATAACATTATTACATATAAATTTACTATAGTTTTGTGCTTCGAAAGATGTTTTTGATATTTTGTGTAACATAAGTAACATTTTTTTATTAGCAGTTCCCATTATATTATCTGTTGCTTAGTTCTATGAATCAAAAAAGCAATATGCATATGTGCTCTCTCGCCCTCTTTCTCTCTTTCTCTCCCTCTGTGCCTGTAATAAAAAGTTTCTAGAACACTAGCTTTTGCTCGCGACTCCTTCCGCGTAGAATTAAAAAAAAAAAACAAAATTGAGTAACCTTATGCGATCTTCCATAATATGTTCTACATCTATGGCAAAATTCATCCAGATTCGTGCAGCCGTTTAGGCTACAAACATCCATCCATCTAAACTTTCGCATTTATAATATTAACTAGTATGATTATCACTTTTAGGTATGTTTCAAGAAGCATTAAAAACAAAGTAAGACCAGATACAACAAAGGTCTAGACACAACAACTGAGCGACATTAGTGGTTTTCCATTAGAAGTTCGTTTATTTAATCGTGTCCGTATTGAATGTTACTGTGGAAATAGCGGAGGTTGCAGTCTCCTCGAAACGAGTAAACAACGTACGTTTACAACGAAGTAATTATAGTGTATAAGTTAAGTACTTATCTCTTTAATAAGTTATTTGCAAAAAAGATTTTG